TTGTATTAATATTTTGATAAAGTTCTATAGATTAGAAGTTCTTTTGATTTTAGTTTATTTGCTCTATAAGTAAATGATTTATTCATTGTAATTCACAAGCCGAATATATGAATAAGAACTGATTTCCTTTGCCCACCCCTTTCTTTTCTTGTTTGTTAACAAATTTACCTGCATCAAAACCCCTCAACTACTGAAAGCAATAATTTTTATCTTTATCTCCACACTTCATTTCCTGACTTGGGCATTGGAGATCCTTTGCCCATGGATCTCCAGCTCTCCTAATGCTGCTAGTGTTATGGATTTGAGATCTGGAAAAGTGACAGATAAGATTTGGGGAGCTGAAGAAAGTCATCAAGGACATCATGTCATAACATCGTTCTAAAGTCTGCTTTTCGACATGGAGCAGAGTGTTTAAGATGGAATTAATCAGCCCATATCAATCACTGACATGCAAGTTCGAGGTAACAATCAGATTGAATCCATGGATGGAGTGGTCAAAATCATGGAGTTTTCCAAGTGGAATATTTGTCAGAGGTGACCACCATGTAGAATCCTCTTGCACAACGTGAAACACAAGATCCTGTCCTCAACACGCCTGTTCGAGCAAAATGCTTGGTTTCCAGGTTGGACTGACCGCGCACCCTGGGAAAGGACTGCCCTTAATATTGAAATCGGAAAATATAAAAGCATGTTTGGCTAAGCTTATGAGGTGCTAATAGCATAAAAACCTTATAAGCATAGCTCAACATGCTATAAGTCTGCAAAATGTTTCTTTCCCATCTATTAAGTATAGAATAAACAAGTATCTATTTTCATAAGCTTTTTTGGTCTTCTGAACAATTTTCAGATTTTCACTCTCCAACTCCTTACTCCAAGTATGCTTCCTGCAAAGCTTATGATGGTCTTACCATAATGCTTCCAATTAATTACAAGAAGAAATCCAGTACATCAGTCAATATAATGAATAAATAACTGAGATACTCTTATAAGATAGTTTACAGTTCAATCCTATAAGCTTCTTATCAATCAAAGTCGGAAAATGGCCTAAATAGAAAATTGCATTGGGTCCATGCCCAAAATAGAAATGTTTGTTTCTCAATCCATGGACATAATTGCAGAATGCATTATCACATTAGAATAGCTCGAGAGAGAAAGAGCAATGTAATAGGCATACATCATATTTCATTATAGGAGAGCTGATCCTAATACCTAAACTCATCCTCTGGGAAACCAACTTGGAGCCGTCCACTAAAATGCACCACTAGTCACTTTCTTTTTATCTTTTACTATTCATAAGTCATAATCAATCATCCGTGGTAAAATGAATTGAAATAGGACACTAATCTTTAAACCACATATATTACTGTCTACATCAAGAAGCTCCAACTTCTATATGCAACCAACTCCCCTACCACTCCATTCAACGAGCTAATTCCTATGGGTCAAAATTTTCCCTTTGTGATTCAAGACAAAAAGAAATGAAATCCAACTATCACAGCATTCCTCAGCCTCAATGTAGGATGCATTATTAACTGGGGAGTGAGAAAAAAGTAAACTTCACATTACCCACAAAAATCTAAATCCAGGCTTCAAATTTCGATGGTGATATAGCCTTACAAAAGCCACAGCACCTAATTTCTTCAATTAATTAGTCCAACTTTATCGTTTAGAGTCTACTTGAGGGCTTAACCAAAAAATATTTTTGATGAGGATAAGCGTGCAAGATAATTATTACAACCCAAGGGCTACGTGATGGGAAAAAACCAGACACCCTTGCAATAAGATTATAAGATCAAAAAGCAATCTGTGAGCAATATATCGGCATTTTCAACCCCCAAATACTGGTACCCAATAAATTACTAGGACAAATAATTTACAGAACCATTTTCTTTTTTATTTTTTGACAATATAGCTATAAGGAATTACCTTCTCTGATCGTCGTGACGACGACAAACGAAGAAAGAAGGATGATAACGGCAAGATGTTGGGGTATTCGAGGACGCACTGTATGTCTCTTTGCACCTCTTGCATACTCTTTGCTTCTCTTTTGCAGCTTCTTCTTCTCCTTTTACATTCTCCTTGCCCATTTTTCTTGACAGTTTCCTCTTTGGCTTTTCTCTGTTTTGATCCAAAAAGTTCAGAGTTCGTTCGTTCAGATGTCCACTGTCAGATTAAGCGGATTCTAGTGTTGGCGATTGGGAAAATGGCGATTTTAAGCTGAATGCTAAATTCTCCGAAATGCATTTGGAAAAATAATGGAATTGCTCTATTGGTCCCCAACCTGCTATACCGATGACACGTGGTTAAATGTTTCATCGTTCATTGAACTTATGTCACGTTTTAGTCCTTAAACTCTAAAGTATTTTCGATTGATCACTAAAATTATGCAATTATGCCTCAATCATATTTTACTCACTGAACTTTACAAGTGCTTCCGAGTGGTTATTAAACTTTAACACATTACACATTATCACTCATTCACCGTGTTTCATTAACCAAAAAATTTATACATCCGTCACGCTTTACTCACTAAATTTTAAAATGTTTTCAGACGTTCGCTGATTTTCTTAATATTTTATTGTGAAGTTGATTTTATGTGAAATTTGACCTAAAATAAAAATATATCAATTAGAGAATGAGAATCTCAATTTAAGATGAGAATATTAATATTGGTCAAGAAGATGTATATTTCTAGTCGTCAAAAGTTATGCTCAAGGAAAAAGAACGATGCTTCAAATTGACATAAAATTTGATTAAATTATAACGTTTCTTTATGTCGAGAAAATAAAATAGATAAATTATTTCTTTATTTCGATTGAGGTCATAGACCCAAGTCAAGAAAATATATATTTTTTTTAATTTCAAAAAGGCTATGAAATTTTTGATTTAGAGTCAATAATATTAATCAATGCTAACAAAATATAGTTTTTTAGTGTAGTCACGAGGTAATTCAATACGAAAGAATTGCGTTGTTTTTGTGTTTCAATTTTTGAATAGTTTGATTCAATAAGTAAAGTTCAGTGATCATTCAAAAATATTTTTAAAGTTTAATGTACGACGAAAGTAAGAGTCCAGTGTATAAAAGCGTGAAGTGTGTACAAGTTCAATAACTAACGAAACATTGTGAGTAGGTGATGAAGTGTAATGTGTTAAAATTCAGTGACCACTCGAAAAAATTGTAAAGTTTATTGAGTAAATCGTGGCTGGGGTACAAATTCAGTGACTAATGAAATATTTAACTCAATAACGGGGGAAATTTCATCTCTTGAAAGGAGGCTCGAATTTAGATTATTAACTTTATACGATGTCGCTCTTACCACTTGAATTAGTCATTGACTGTTAAATTGATCCCTTCTTACCTCCCATCATAAGGTGAAGAGCTAGGAGTTCAATAACAATGTTTCAAATTCAAAAAATGTACCATTGAATTTGATGACGATTTGGAATAAGCATTAATATTTTTCAATTCAACTAGGGATGGAAACGAGGCGGGTCAGTGTTGGGGCAACCTCCCCTCGCACTGCCCCATCGGGTAATTTCCCGCGCCCGTTACTTGTTTAAGGTAGGGCGGGGTATTGCCCCTTTTATTACCCATTTCTTTATTTTTGTTTATTTATTTATTTTAGTTTTTGATAATTCATTTTATTGCCACCATTCATTAAAGTGAGACAATAATATATTTATTAATTTATTTATAAAAGTTAAATTATTCAAATATATTTTGTAAATTAAGATTTTTATTGTTTGTCATATTCCTTAGATAATCTTAGTAGTCGTCTTCGATTAAGAACTCGTGAAATTTCGTGGAGTTTTTCATTTGAAGTATTGAATTAAAAAAAAATTAAAAATTAAACAGGGCGTGGTGTGGCGGGCTCCCCCGCTCCGTCTCTTACCCGAATACTTGATTAAGTTGGTAATCTCCGTCCCGTTGGAGGTGAGGTCTCACGGGTATTGAATTTTTTTGCCATCACTGAATTTAACCTTCTATTTTTCCTTATCTTAGTAAATTGCCTTTGTTTCCCCGTAATTCTTTTTTATTAATGGTAAAATTATATTTACTATGCAATTTAATTGTAATATAGGTTCCCAACTGTTTATATTATTTTTACACTCATAGCTTCAAATTTTTTTCGTTATTTTTAAATTCTCAACTTCATATTAATTAGTACATATTATCTATACAAATTCCAAAAAATTCATTAGAATGGAAACAAAAGACTTAGCTCTATTTCATAAATATGAGGACTATAGTTGTAATTCCCCAAATAATATGGGAAATTGTCGCAAATGGTAGTCTATGCTATTACGGTCCCTGATACTTTTTTCTGGCACCGAAGTCTCAATTTACTGTTATGTGCACATATTGTCCTTTCGACGATTTCCAAATAATTGACCTTTTAAATTTCAATATTTTTGTTAAAAGGAATACACTACCTTACATTTAGTTAAAAAAATAAAATAAGTTGAAAAGTATTGAATAATGGTATAGTGAAATGGACGGAAATAATGAAAAATGACTATTTGCTCTAGAATGATGACGTCCGTGCCAAGGAAAAAATGTTAGGGACCAAATCGGACATAACCGTAAGTCAGAAGGACCATTTAATAATAAAAGAAAGAAGAAGATAAAGGGTAAAACAGGCATAACGGGAAAAGTACGGAATAGACGGCGCGAGAAGATAAAGCTGGTCCATAAAAATGAATACAGAGGCGTCAACCGCAGGAGTGGCGTTGTATGGGCGTTGCTCCACCCTCAATCTAACCCTAGAATCTCTCTCACACACACACACACACACACACACACACTGTAAAGCATGGCTTTCTCTCTCCTCTCATTGTCCTCTTCTTCCCCGCTTTTTTCCTCCTCCGATTCTTCCTCTCTCCTTTTCAGGACAGCCATTAATTCTACTATTTTTTACCGCAACAACACCAATTACAATGTTTATTCTTCTTCTGACAAGTACTCTTGTAGATTGTTTAATCATCCCAGATATCTTTCTATGTCGATTGGCACCGAAGCCAATTTGTCTGGGGTTTCGGATAAGTTTCTGGACGCTACTAGTGATGAATTAGAAGGCGATACGGACGACGACGAAGAGGAAGAGGACAGTGGAGGACGAGTAGGATTTGTGGAGACAGAAGAGGATGCACAAGAACATGATTGGGGTCCTTCTGTTTTACCGGACAGATGGGATGTTTTGGGACTCGGCCAAGCTATGGTAATTCCCATGTTTTTCACTTACTATATCATAACTCAATTTTTGAACCCTGAGGTTAAGTACAATGTTATGGGAGCTGGAGAAAGTTTGGATTTTCGCATTAGGTTGAATATACAATGTAGTAATAACCACTACTAAAATAACTTGTGCAAGGTTGTGGAATTTAATGTTATATATGAACTCATAATGGGAGTCGACAGATATAGTAGCATACATTAGCCCTGGTAGTAAAATTGTTGTTCCAGAATTGGTGTTTTGAGTTGATCTTTCACCGATCACAGATTTTAACACCAATGCCCAACTTGGCTAATAGGAGTAATGATATTGATCATTAATAGAAATCATCACTGGTGGCACAGTGCCTCTGATTCATCGTCCAATGCCCAGCTGGCGATGATACAACATAACTCGGCTAATAGTTTCTTTCTTTCTCTTGAAATTAGTATTGAGACACTTTGCTTTATCTCCATTTTTATACCTTTTTTTATTTCTCAGACATTTAAAACATTTTTCTAGCTCTATTTTGTATATTTTGAAGTGAAATCTCCTGAATATGAGGGGGTGACTATGTGCTGTATTAAGATAACTTTGGTTTTACTTGTGCCAAATAAATAAAACATTCTGTTATCAAGAAGTGTTGTAAATATAAAACATTGGACATGAAGTACGCAAAAAATTTCACTTTATTTTGACTTGCTACACGAAGATTAAAAGCTTCTGGAATATAACTTTCCAAAGTTTACAATATGGAGCTTGCCATGACCTTGGTCCTTGAAGTGTCGAGGTTATTCCCCTTGCATGTTGTAAGTTTAGATAAATATGAAAAAAGGACAAGCCATGTGGCATGGAGGACAGTGTCCCCGCTTGTCAAACACCGGCAATCCACCAACAGACAGAGTTTATATCTTTAAAATTCCAGTTAGCAACCAGTTCAAACTACCTTTAATCCTTTACAAATGAAAGGTGCAAGGTATCAAGTCTGCACAAGACATGGATTAACAATCTTAATTCATTTCTTATGCACCCTGTTCTAGTAAAAAATTGGTGCGATTTCTGTAATTGGCATTTTATATGTGGGCTTCTTTTTTTATATTTTAATTTGATTTAGGAGACTCAAATGAATTACTTTTCTGATTTCATGATGGTAGGTTGACTTTTCTGGCATGGTTGATGATGAATTTTTGGATAGACTTGGATTAGAAAAGGGTACTAGGAAGGTAGTGTATCATGAAGAAAGAGGTAGAGTTTTGCGGGCAATGGATGGATGCAGTTACAAAGCCGCTGCTGGTGGATCTCTTTCAAATAGCCTGGTGGCCTTGGCCAGGCTTGGGGGTCAACCCATTGGAGGGCCTGCCTTAAATATAGCCATGACTGGCAGTGTGGGAAGTGATCCATTAGGTGGATTCTACAGGTATACCTCTTTTCTCGCATTTTTTTGCGCGTTTGCATTAACACCATCAAAACCTATGCGTGGTTTTTATGCTTCCACTTAGACCCAATTTTTTTGGTTGGGGGGGTGGGGTGGGGTGGGGTGGGGTGTTTATGAATAAAAATGAATATTACACATGGGAGGGGGACATCGACCTTACCCCCAGATAGGACATCAAGAGGAGGAGAAGAAAATATGAAAACACTAAAATTGGAAGCACTACTTCCATTACAAGACTTAATGAAATACACAATTAAAAGCTTGAATATAGAAACCATAAGTGAAAATAGAGAATTTCAAAGTCTTCGACTCAGTCCATACAAATAAGGTAACTATTACTGGACTCAATGAAAAACACATTTTGGCTATGCATTGTCTAAGTTTAGAAGGATTTTCTTAGGTTTGTGACACATGATTTCTTTTATCTTGCTAATGTGTGTGATCAATGACCTTCTCATTATCTGATTTCTTTACTTAGATCAAAACTCCGACGGGCAAATGTGAATTTCCTTTCAGCACCAGTGAAGGATGGAACAACAGGAACAGTTATTGTTCTCACAACTCCCGATGCTCAACGTACAATGCTTGCATACCAGGTCATTAAAATTAAGATTTCGAAGCTTCATGAACTAAGTGACCACTCTGAATTATCAAGTAAAAGTTAACTTACACTTCAGAATGCTGTTTTTTATGGGACTTTCTTTCAGTACCAGTGACAGAGGTCTAACTTGCTACTTGATTAAGTTTGTAAATTTCTTTAACTGATTCCATGTGTCTAAATCCTATGAAAAAATCAAAGCATTCATTTGCCTTGCTCCGAAAGGAAAAAAGGAAGAAAAAATTCTTATTCTGCATTGTAATGGTCCTGAGAAGCTATTCATATATTCATACGAGCAGTTCTTATGGATTTGTGAGAACGTAGTGGAGAACCAAGATGAAGAGAGAAATTATTTTTGTCAGATTTATGCTTTAAGATGAAATTAACACAATAATATTGTCATTTATGTTACTGTATTCATTATTATAGCTAATTGTTGTTATTTGTTACGTACATTACATCATCTTCTTCTTTTAATATATAATCACTATCATCATCATTAAAAATAAATACATGAATATTATGTGGTCATCCATCATAGCTTTGATCTATCAAATTCAACTGTATGTGACCGTTCCTGGCAGTAGAAGGAAAATTGGAGCAAATTTGTAGAATTTTCTACTGTTATGGATGAGTCTGCAACCCTCATGTAGATATGCTGTGGTTTTGGTCATAGCTTATATCTACTTTTTTTAATGATTAGCTAGTCATATTCTGCTGACTAGATATATTAAGTCACACCCTGAGTAATGTGCAGACCTATATTGTATTTTTGATGGGTATCCTATTAGATAAAATATATGAAGACTTTCCAAATTTAGATTTTATGTTAGGAAAAAAGTAAAGTAACTAGGGTTTAGTTTCGAAAATTTTTCTGGTATTTTATTTTATTTCTTTAGTTGTTTCCTACTTAAGTTAGGATACTTGAAACCTTATATAAAGAGGGTCTATGCATTGTATTACATTCTCTTAGATTATTGAATACAAACATATTTTCTCGCTAATTTCTACTTCTCTCTTCTTCCCCCTTCTATAATTCTGTTTGTTGTTCGTTGTGTCCTACGTCAGTTATGTTCCATTTTCCTGAAATTAGTTAGACTCTTGAAGAATTTTAAAATGCCACATGATAATTGTTTTCTTAATTTTTTACATAATCTCTATTGGTTAAAAAAAGCACGTAGTAGATGCATTAGATACTCACACATTTATGTTATTACTTTGATTATACCAGGGTACATCATCTAGGGTTCACTATGATCCCTGCCTAGCCAGCCTGGTTTCTAAAACACGTATATTAATAGTTGAAGGGTATTTGTTTGAACTTCCTGACACGATCAAAGCGATTAGAAAGGCATGTGAGGAGGCACGCATGTGTGGTGCTTTGATTGCCATCACAGCTTCAGATGTCTCGTGCATTGAGAGACATTATGATGATTTCTGGTAAAATCATGTATTCAATTTGCCTCTTTCATATCTCTATCCCTCCCAAAAGCCAAAAGAAAAAAAGAAAAAAAAAAAAAGGGAAAAATTGTAACTTCTTTTGTGTTGATTAAAGAACACTTTGATATCCTGTCTGCTAAAATGAATAGTGTGAATTAGCTTTGACCTGATATAATATGTTTCCTTTCATAGTATATTGCATAATGTATCAATTTACTCATGATGCTTTCTGAAACATGTTCTAGGTTGAAGTATATTTTAAAACAACAATAAACTACTAGTGTTTCAAAAAATTGGGCTCAACATCTGAGTCTGTGAATTTTGAATTATCTGAGTTCATGCTGTCTCCTTCAAAAGTTTCGAGGATTTAAACTATATCAAACAAGAGGCAGAATCTTGGTTAAATTTTGGAAACTCCTGATGTCAGTTTCTCTGAAAAACCAAAACAAGCTAATTATTATATAATAGAATTACAGACGTGAAAGAAATTATCAGTCATCTATCATTGGCATTTCAATGTTTATATGTTCTTTTTCAGGGATATCATGGCAAACTATGCAGACATCGTCTTTGCAAACAGTGATGAAGCCAGGACTTTTAGTCATTTTTCGTCGAAGGAAAGTCCTATTTCTGCTGCGAGGTACCTAAGTCATTTTGTCCCATTTGTTTCAGTGACAGATGGTCCTAGAGGCTCTTATCTCGGTGTAAAAGGGGAAGCTGTATATATCCCTCCTTCACATTGCATGCCAGTTGACACTTGTGGCGCAGGGGATGCTTATGCATCTGGCATTTTGTATGGTATATTACGTGGTGTGTCTGATTTGAGGGGTATGGGTGCATTAGCGGCTAAGGTTGCATCTGTAGTTGTTGCACAACAAGGAACCCGATTGAGGGTACAAGATGCTGCCAAATTAGCTGAGTCATTTACATTTCATCACCAAAGCTCCAATATCTGGTCAGATGTAGGATCCGATCAAATCTCCAGCTTGTAAAATGACTTATTAAAATTCTTGATTAATTAAAAATTGAAAATATACTAGTTCACATGCCATCATTTATGCCGATTAAGCTTTTTCTTTCCTTGTCAAGGAAACGTCTATCTTAGCTTTGAACTGTGCATAATGAAATTCATTGTAAGTATTTATACTGGTAAATTCAAATTAATGCATTTGATGCTGTTGAAATTTAGATTTTCAGTGTTGGAAAAAGATGTCATGTTGTTGGCGCAATGGTGATGTTAATATAGAGTATTCTTATATTCATTGATGCTTACGTATACGAGATCTGAATTGTGACATTTGCTCGTCAATGACACTTTATCACTCTTTGCATGTTAATATACACCTTTTGGGCATCAAGTTAGACTTAGTAACTTTGCATTATTTTTTTCTGCTGAAGAAAGCGAGAAGAAATTGTGCCATATTTTATTTAGAAGCAAAATGGGGAAATGAAATATTCTAGAATGTCGAACAGCCTGGTGATGCCTGTTAGTAAACCTTTCCTAGTATAAGTTACTCAAGTACTCAGTTCTATTGTACTGATTTCCAGCTATGCGACTATTTATGATATACCGTTCAAATTTTGTCATTCTTAGGTCTCATACTTCGAATGTTGCTTCTCCATTTCTATTTCTTTTCTCAGTTGGTGTCTCCTCCACCTCCCTTTTTGGCTGGAAAGCCAGGAACATATCATTGCATTTAATCTGGCTTTGTCGTGTATTTCTTTATTTTTGGTTGCAATGTTCTCTTTAATGTAGTTTCGAACTTCCTAATATCGTATTTTTTTCCTGTTGTTTTTATTTCTTTTCGTTTAAACTATTTGTCTCTGGATCTTTTTGATTTGGATGAAAACATAACTCTGTTGTAACTTGTGGGTATCGTCCACCATGATGAATAAAAAATACTTTTAAGTTTTGTTCTTTTGTTCATTTCGAACTTTCTGGGGCTAGGCTTTCTATTTGACCAGGCCATTTGAGACGCCCAGATTGATTATCAGTGCCCCCAAATGGCCTTGTCCAATTTCTCCAATTTCAGGCACTATAGCAGGATATAGTCTATGACTTAGAATCCCATGTTATAGTGGCTCATCCAGAGCGAATTGGAAGAGGTTCTGCAAAACTAGGTGGTGTGCAAGTTCCTGTGTAGGGGTGTGTGATGATGGTGGCCTGGTATTAGTAGAACCTGTTGATGAGGTACACAAGATACGACTTTTTTCCTAGAGTCTCAAGGTTTTAATAAAGTTATGTTTCGCAAGAAGTTCTTGACCGACGAGGGGTTCCAGATTGAAATAACTGCATTTTCCTACATGATGAAGAATCAAGGTTGAGACGCTGTTATGATAATTACGAGAACGAGGGTTGGTGCTGGACTAGGAAAGAAGGCAGACGGGCCAAATGGAAAGCATTTCAAAGAAATCAGAGGTGGACAGTGGATGTCAATTTTGAACTCTTAATTCTGCTTTTCATTTAGATTTCATATGGAAAGCTTTTCAGTTTGCTCGCATGATCGAAGGTACAATTTGAACGCTAATTTATTTTGGGATATCGAATATCGGTTTTATTTTGAAATGCAGAAATGTTTCCCTCTTCTGTACATGCCTGGTGGATAAATGTTCCCCTTTTCAGTTTATGAGCATGTATTCCTTTTCATTTTTCTCTTCATGGTTTGTGGATGTGCATGATTTTTATTTCATCAATACAAGCACTTCTGCTGCAAACAATTCTTGGTTTTTGGATGCATGGGTGGATTTATTAAAAGGGCATACGATATTTCTATTGAGTTGGCGCAGGCAGAGCAAAACACTTTCGAGACCTTTTCGAGAAAATTATTTTTTCATACTACTTGCATTTGCGGAAATAACATTTTCATTAATAAAGAGAAGAAATAAAATTTTAAAATAAACTCAACAACCTTAATTATTAAAGGAAATAATGTAATCTCGTATCCAATCATGTGGATATGTACATCTATGAATTAGAGTGATTGAAGGCATAATATTTTATATTTAAGGCTTAGAGCAATTTAAGGAATTTCCGTTGTAATTGGCAATTAGTCAGTGTACATACACCTAAGAATAGCTTCCTCTAAATCTGTATAAAAGCTCTGTGATTGACACTCAATAAAATATCAAGCAATTCTTGATCTTCTTCTTTTTTTTGCTCTTCTTTTATTTTTATCATGGTATCAGAGCACCGATACTGGTGACCTAAAATCAAAACACCTTCCGCTACAAACACTAGACAATGAGTGAAACAAAAACCACAGAAACAATTGATGGTGCAGACCCCCTTGTTTTACATCACTCGGATCATCCGGGGATGGTTCTAGTCTCTAAGCCACTTGAGGGATACAACTATGGACAATGGAGTCGTGCTATGCGCATCAGCCTCAGTGCAAAGAACAAAGTTGGATTCGTCAATGGATCCATTAAGGCACCAACATCCACAGATCCAAAATCTCACATATGGCAACGATGCAATGACATGGTATTGTCGTGGATCCTAAACGCAATCCATCCTGATTTAGCAGGAAGCGTCATCTACGCCGAGACAGCCGCCGGAGTTTGGGAAGATCTCAAAGAAAGGTTTTCTCAGGGAGATGATACAAAAAATTTTGAAATTCGACAAGCAATTGCCGAACATCGACAGGGACAACAATCAATCTCTGTTTATTACACAAAGATGAAAGCTCTTTGGGATGAGCTGACCTCATATCATGAACCCCTTTGTTGTAATTGTGGAGGATTGAAAGCCCTTGTTGAACGAGAAGAAAAAGAAAGACTCATGCAATTTCTTATGGGGTTGAATGAATCATACTCAACCATCCGTGGATCAATCTTAATGATGAGGCCTCTACCGGACACCCGCAAGGCCCATGCTCTCCTACTTCAACAAGAACGACAAGCCGATGTTGCTACCAAGCGTGAGACAAATGTCAGCCACCATGCGATGCAATCCTCTCATGCAACCCAAATGAATCGACCTCCTGCAATGCAAGAGAATGGGCTGCTAAAAAGGCAGCTTAAGTGCTCCTATTGCGAACGAGAAGGCCATCTCATAGATCGTTGTTTCTACTTGCATGGATTTCCAGTGGGTCACAAATTGCATGGAAAGAATGTGAAGCTAAAAGGAAAAAAGCCAGCTGCTCACAATGTCCAAGCTGACATTGTTGAAATACCCAAGGGACCAACTACAGGGGGAGCAACGTTCACTGTAGAGGAATATAATCAACTCATGGCCTTGCTTCACAAAGGAAATGGTAACGATCAATCATTTGCAAACGTTACAGGTACATTCACACCTACTTGCAATACCACTCAACATGGTCAGTTTTCAACTTTATATTGGATTGTGGATAGCGGTGCAACAGATCATATATCCAAGTCCTTACTAACACATAATAAATCAGACACTCATTATGGTTTTGTCGGGTTACCTGATGGTGGCAAAGCAGAGATTAAATCCATAGGGTCTATAAAACTTTCTTCTGATATGATTCTTGATGGAGTTCTCCATGTTCCCAAGTTTCGAGTTAATTTGTTATCAGTTAGCAAACTGACTCAAGCATTGAGATGTAATGTGATTTTTTATTCCGATTTTTGTGTGGTGCAGGACGTGGTTACGAAGAAGACGATTGGCCTGGGCAAGCAATATAATGGGTTGTACTATCTCAAAACTAGTTAGAATCCACACCTTGTGCACATCGTTAAACGTTCTTCTAGCCTTTGGCATCAACGGTTGGGACACCCTTCATCCGCTCCTCTTCAAGAATTATCAAAGAACATTCCAGAAATATTTTTTGATTCTCAGCACATTTGTGACATTTGTCCATTAGCGAAACAAACACGTTTACCATTTTCTCGCAGTTCCATTTCATCAGTTGCACCTTTTGATTTAATTCATTGCGATATTTGGAGACCTCATAGAGTTAACTCTCATATTGGGGCTAGATATTTTTTGACTATTGTGGATGATTATTCTCGTTTTACATGGGTTCATCTTATGGTTTTTAAGTCCGAGACGCAATCTTTATTGAAATCTTTTTTTTCTTGGGTTAAAACTTCAATTGTGAGATTAAAGCCTTTCAATCTGATAATGGGCATGAATTCACATCCTTGCGTTCCTTTTTCAATGATCACGGAACAATTTTTCAGCACTCTTGCACAAGTACTCCTCAACAAAATGGGGTAGTTGAGCGAAAACACCGTCATCTTTTGAATGTGGGTCGTGCACTTCGATTTCAAGCAAATATACCTTTGAGATTTTGGGGAGAAAGTGTACAAACAGCATGTTACCTCATTAATAGACTACCAACACCTTTATTATCTCTCAAGTCACCTTATGAAGTTTTGCACCAAAAGCCACCCATTTATTCAAATATTCGAGTTTTTGGTTGTTTATGTTATGCAACCAATCTCACGCCCATGCACAAATTTGATGTTCGTGCCCGTAGATGCATATTTTTTGGCTACCCGCTTGGTCAGAAAGGTTATCGAGTATATGACTTGGATACAAAGAAATTTTTCACCTCTCGAGATGTCGTTTTTCATGAACACATTTTTCCTTTTTCTACATCTCCACAAGAAAATCAGTCTGATTATCCAGTTTTACCCATACCTTTTGATGAAGATGCACCCTCCTTTACTATTAATCCACGAACACCAATCACCAGCCCATCATCAAGTCATGACCATTCTCCACATTCAGACACTACCATATCTCATGAGACTTCTCAAAATGATTCCCCATCCTCCATCGATATTTTTCTTGACACAGAACCCACATCAACTTTATTACAAAATCAGGTTCCTCTTCGCCGCTCTCATCGATCAACAAAGACTCCAGCTTATCTCCAAGATTACCAAGTCAACCATGCTCTATTGCTTGCTCCAGGAGCAAACTCTTCTACCACGTCCAGTACTAAATACCCACTCAACAGGTATATTTCTTACTCAAACATCTCTCATGTTCATCAGACATTTGTGCACAATATCT